CTCTCCACCGACTAGCTCGCACCATTCCTATACCCTGGAAAACCAGGCCGCACGGGCTTAGCCCTGTGTCGGGGGATGCAATTTTCGACATTGATGATGGACCTCATCAAGGCAGTCGCTACCGGAGTGATTCAACTCTCCAAAACTATAGGAATCCTCTTCGTGCCAACTACGCCCCAAAGGTCCCATCATCTAATCGCACGCGTTCGGAGCCTGTGATCGAAGAGGAGCTTAACAGCGATGTTGATTCCGATGATGAGGTCAGACCCGCTCATTTCGACCCAGGGCATGAAAGAGAGCGTCTCATCAATAAAGTCTACCCATCGCGGGAGTCGCCCGCGGATGTCATGCTCATCTCGCGTTCTGGCCAAAACTTTACGATTGAATCGGGAGAGACACCAACTGCTGGTTCGAGTTCACATGGGCAGCATGCGCAGGAGACGTTGCGACCTCCACAGCGTGCTAGCAAGTCGCATTCATCTGTAAGTATCGAGTGCATCTGTCCAACTCAATTACATTCATTAACGCTTCACTTGACAGCGTCCTCGTGTGCCTCCTGCCCCTCAGAGTCCGGCCCCAGTACCTCCCACCTCATCGCCACGTTCGCCGGCGAGGTTACGGCAGGCTTCTGATGACAGCACGAAAGGCTTCGTGGGACTAGCACCTTCGTACTCAACGCCCACGGTTCCTGCTTCTCCTCGACACCCGGTGTCCAGGATAGCATCTAACGACAACATGCTTGGCCTCAGCGGTGTCCATCACAGTGCTGCAGCGTCGAGTAATACGCTTCCCATTGCACCTTCTTCCTCAAACCCCAATCTCCTCATAGACCCCCCGTCGCCACTTTACATACGTCGGCCATCTAACGATGCCCTCCGCCATCAGTATCAATCTACATCCAACTTTGGCATTCCACAGCCTATTTTGAGTGAGCGCATTTCGGGATATAGCACCGATCTTGAAATACCGTCGATTTCGTCCCCGCCTTACCATCCATCGCCGCTTCGGGACGAGCGTATATTAGTGCCGTTGCGGAATGAGTCGCCGTATACGCCACCTCCGCCACTGACGCCCCGTCTAGAGCAGGACTTTTCTTCGCGGCATTCGAGGAATGTGTCAAGTGAGAGTGTGGTGCCTGGGCGAGGCGACCCGGTTATGCTGTTCTCTGGGCCGGTAAGGGCGGCAGGGTATATGCGCTCGTCGTCGCAGACGAGGAGTTGAGAGTGTGCTTTTTAAGAGTAACTTATTATTTCTTTGATTTGATTTCTTGGAGCGGCGGATATACAAGGTGTTGAGAGAGGAGAAGGATTTACAAGTACCCATTCATTTGCTATACGACAAGCTCTCGATGTATTTGCTAGTTGCTTTTTGGATATGATCTGGACATTTACGAACTTGTCACGCGTTGAAGCTTCGGAGTTAAGGGCATGACTCTCCTGACTACCACCACCATCATCTTTTCCTTCAGCTCACAGACTGGTGCAATAACTTTAAGGTACATACGCGCTATGCCAAGAGACGACGGTCGCAGTGATGCGCGTTTTTACCCAATACCTGAATGAGGTCTTGATAGGAGTGCGTACTTCTGACCATTAAGCGACATCAAAGCGACATAATATCTTTATTTCGCGACGCTCGCGCGAAAAACGCGCTTTTCTCGCTCTTGTACATGGTTCCCCTTTCATTCGTTGGCATGAGGTCCGTCTTCAGCCAAGACTATGGTGGTCGTCGATGGAAGGAGGCTTCGTGTATAAAAGGCGTCCGATGTTGGCTCTCAAAGCATTAGGATCGTTCTCTTCCACTTTCCTTCCAGTCGCTCTCTCAGGATGCACTTGTTCAGTGCATTGCTCGCTCTCCTTCCTACTGTCCTTGGGCAGATAACTTCCTTGCCCTATGATCCGTCGCCGTTTTTGACGACTGGGTTCATCACTGGGTATGATATCATTCTTCCCCTTCTTCTGAGGTGCGAAGAGACTGATATAATCGTGTAGTGGGACGTTGAACAATGCGTCGGATATTCTCTCTGGCGGGACGCTCTCTATTGACCATGTCGAGTTCATCATCCCACGCAACCTTCTCGTCAACACTCCCTCTCTGACCGCCGTCGCGTGGAGTGAGATGTTCACCGAAGAGGGCGTCTTAAATCTCCCGCTGTGGCCAGAGATCAGCTGGGAGACACAGGTGAAGAATGCAACTCGGCCTAGTTGGTACACAAACTGATTACGCGTAGGTCTACGCTAACTACATCAACGGACAATTCATCGCGGGTATTGTATACATCTTCCAGGAAATTCTCAACGCCAACCAGGGATTCATCACCGCCATCGACTACGAAAAGGGCGAAATGCGCATTAATGGCGCGTTTGGCGATTTGACCACTGGACATAGAGTAGTCATCAATGATCCTGGTCGGTGAGGTTGCTTCTACTCTTCGAATTGCTCCTCATGTTCCGTAGTGGGCCGATTTGGTATGGTGCATGGAGATTGGCCTTTATGGACCGCGGATTACGATAATCCGAGTATCTCTACGAGCACCGGATTCCCCGTCTGCCTTCCTCGTGTCGATCCCGCTGTTGAATTGGATATGTTGTGCCCTGACTACAATCGGCCTGTCGATGGCTCCGGGAAACCACTTACTGCCTTGTGAGTCTTCATACCCACTTTGCACTTCTCATCTCACGTTTTTTTTTCAGTACATTCGCTGCTCCGCCCGTCGCTGCCGGTCAACCCGACCCGAACCTCTTTGTGCCCCTCAAAGTAGGCGACTTTTTGATTTACAGTGGAACTGTTGTTCCAGACGCAAACGGGGAACGACTTTTAGCGGCATATGCCATCGATGCCAATTTGGGTATCTACACGACCCCTGGGACATCGTAAGCTATCTTTGTGCTTCAAGCAGAACGAACCGCTCACACGTTGAAAATAGCCCAGCTTATGTCAAGATTACTGTCCTCCGGGCAGGCATTGACGGCAGTAAGGTGTACTTTGTTTATCTCTTCTCCTTTGGCTGACTCTTCTTTCAGACCCCGCCGGCGAAATAGAACAGACCCGTATTGAAGGGTACACCACCGACGAAACCTCTACTATCACTATTTTCGTCGTCGAGGTCGATCCCTGCACAGGCGAAGAATCTGAGCGCCGCTGGGGAACAGCCGTGCCGCGCCCCACCGACCGCAAAGGTCAATGGCGCTTCCGCGTCGACGGCGACACCAATGGCCTCTCGCCCTACACGCGCGAAGTCGGCGCGCGCATGTCCCAGACGACCGTCGCGACCCCGAACGGTATCCTCGCGGGCCAGTTCATCTCTCCATACCCGCCCGACTCGTACCTCTTCCCCGAGCTCATTGTCTTTGGCGACCCGCAGATCACGCACGAGTTCAATTTGCTGAACCATCTGGCGAACGGGTATGGACCGTGGTTGGGTGGTATTCCAGGTGTACCGGAGACTCTGACGGGTCCGATTGTGGGCCAGCTAGACCCATGGCCAGGTGTTGGAAGTCCTGCTAAAATCAACTGCCCTGTTGTCGACCCCTTCGTACCGGTCGCTAATGCGGGCCCGGACACGACTGTTGTGTCGCGGCAGAATGTTACTCTGTTCGGTGGCATCAAGAATGATTTGTCGCGTATGGGATTTTATTGTTATTGTGTGCATCTGCTGAACATGCTTTTGATAGTTGAAAATGTCACCTTTGCATGGACACAGACTGCTGGTGTCAACGTCAATCTCTTTGGAGCTGATACGGCCAACCCGACATTTATCGCGCCAATCGTTGCTACTTTATCGACGGTTGTGTTCCAACTCGAGACGAGCAGCGCTGCGGGCTCCAGTTTCGACACTGTAGTCTTCACCATCAACCCTTCGGCCGTTGTTGACTCGGTACTATTGCTTCTGTCCGCCGCTTGTTTTGCACGACTCATCCAACATCCCGTAGATCACGCTAGAGGAAGTATCCTGGAAGAGTGGACGGGGAAGCGGACTGTTGACCGTCATCGCGTCGACCAACGTGGCCTCTTCTACCTTGTTCATGTCGGTCAGTGCTCCTTCTCTACTTACCTTGTTCGTTCGGCCTCTCTGACGTTAATCCAAGGCCACCAATCCCGACATTGCGACAGTCGCCATGACACCCCAAGGGAACAATCGTTTCCAGGTTGTCGTGTCTCTGCGTCCCGCGCCACAGTCGGTTACTGTGTCTTCTAGTCTGGGGGCGAGTGTCACCACGAACACTATTGGCTGAAGTCGTACACTCTCTTTGTTTTCCTTCTTGCTTATTCTGTATTTATCCAACCGATCCAAAATCATTTGAACTTCAAGTACACAATAAAGAAATATCAGGCGGAGTCGGAAGTGAGGTTGTCCAAAGACGACCAGCAAATTGTTTTAGGCTCTTTGATGAGAATCTTCTAGGTTTGTGCGTAGCAAGTGACTCAGAGCTCAGCTGGAAATCTTCTAGGAGGTGTAGTCCAACCTTAGTCGAGGCATGCGGCGCTTGCGCCACATGGGCACAGGCATTGTCCATCGTGTGAAGAACACTCACAGTGGTTAATAGTCATACAACATGGACAGTTCTGCTATTTGGAGCCGGTTTTTCCTCGCTAATGGCCTTAGGGTGGTGAAGTAGACCCTAGGTTTTGATACACCTGGGGTTTACTGCAGTAAATGACGGTATCAATACGGTATTGAAACCCTCGGGGGTCAGGAGGTAGGTTTTGACACCAGCACATTACATTCGCACATGCCGGTGCGCTGGCGCTCATGACAGAGAGCCTGGAGGTGGCGGGACTAAGGCGGGATGAGGGCGGCACGGCGTTGCGCCACATCACGTGTCTGAAAGTGCCGGTCTCGAAACCGTTACTAACGGTTTCAAAACTCAAGCCTCGGAAAAGGTCAGTATCGATACCGTTAGTAACACCCCAGGAGGTTTACTGCGCCACCCTAGTTATTACGCCCTTAACTTTGAGTCAAGGGCACAATAAAAAATAACACGAGTCGGAAGATACAGTGACAACTGTGAGGTTCGAACTCACGCCCCGGAGGACTGGATGGTTAGACACCTAATTCCAGCGCCTTAGACCACTCGGCCAAGTTGCCATGAGAAGTCTCCTTTGATGAGTTACTGGAGGTCTTTAGTTTTACATTTATGTCAGTACTATCCTTGACAATGCTGGATATATACAAGTGGTGATAAATAATCACAATTTGGCCTGTCTTCTTCCTCTTTCTAACATGGGTTTTATATAATCCTGAGAGATCCAGTTCAGCGTGTATGCCATATATGTGGAACGTTGCGAAGCACCTCATAGACATGATCCTCCCCATTATTCAGAGGCTCGCTCTTTGTTCTCTCCCAAAGAGCCTCGTACACTCGTCCATCGTACACCCCAAGGGCACTAGCAGCCTTTGTTAGGGCCGGCACAAGAGAGACAAGCATCAACCGCACCTGTCCAACTCCCAGTCTGACCACCCAAAGGCATCGGTGAGCCCAATAGCCTCCGGTAGAATGTCTACTTCTGAAACCTTCCTCAGCGCCTTCCGGATCTCCTTCGCGTGCAGCGGCCGCAGGATACCCAACTCCAAGAAATCGCCGAGTGACGATTCGATTGTTGAAAGAAGATACTGCGATGCATATCAGGATATGCTTTAAAAAGGAAGCTGGCAACACACAAGAAGATACAAGCTTTTCATTAGACTAGCATTCACGGTGTGGGTCTTCAGCAGCTCGCGTACTTGCACGGCAATGAACGCTTCAGTGACTGCGATCGAAAGCCGACGAGCGACACCTGCGTCCTCTTCATTGATATTTCGGGCAAACACCGCAGCGCGCCACTCCAACAGAAGAATCAATGTTTCTGGATTTTGCCAACTGGCATGCGTTAGAAGAGGGGGTTGTTGAAGCCGGAGAAATTCAGAGAACGACGGTGAAGTCGTCGATTGCTGCTGCTGGGCCTTCAGTACAGCCCTCACTACTTGCTTGTCGAGAACGTAATTCTCGCCTTCGTATCTGCACAACCGTTCATAAGTGGAACCTTAATAGTGCGAGGAGTACTGACGTTACACTTGCGACGCTATCCGCATACAATTTGCCAACGCCAGCAAATGCACTGTACCCGTGGCCGCCCATCGACCGGCGAGCGGTCTCAATGTCAGCCACGCTAGTTGTAGTAGCGTATGACTTGAGTCCGCTTAGGATGGCATGCATTTCTCCAAGAAGGGATGTGTCCCCTTCGGCAAGACGCTTGGAATACGCGGCAAATGAGTTTTGCTACATCGCGTGTCATCAATCTATCACAACGAGTACGAAAGAAGCAGACGAACGAGATCACGGCCTATTAAGATAAAAACATATGCGTGCGATATGATGGGCAGCAGCCGATAATAAGTCGAAGGGTAGGTGAGCACTTGTCGTTCTAAGCCATCGGGACCTTTATCGCCTTGCCGGCGAACAGTCGTATAGCGAATAGCAATGGTGATAGCTAACGTCGTTGAGCGCTCGAAGAATCGATAACGCTGAACAAAATACCTCTCGCTATTATGGAACCGGCATGAATAACCATCCTGGAAACATTTTGATACGGTGGCGCCGATAGCATTATACCAGCTTACCCTGCTCGAATGTACAACATCTGTGGGGAAAATGAGTGTCTGCGCATCAGTCAATATTAAAGGGAACGTACGCCACCATAATTCATTTTGGCGTGGGGTGGCCTCACATATTTGCCCTCTGGTGTGACGCCGGCAAACTTTGATAGCATATTGTCCTTTGGAATACGTACATGGTCGAATCGCGCGTACCCGTTGTCGACAGGCGCGTAACCTGCCATGGCCTTCGGACCTACATATCTACGAGGTGAATATACGCTGCGAAGACGCCGAGAGGACGAACCAATATCTCCTGCGGTGATACCGGGAAGCAACTGATGATTGTCTACAGCACGCATAAGCGAGGAACAGGGATGCATAGACCACACTAACTCATATCCCTCAGTTGGACAAAGAACAGATGCGGACCGGCGTCCTTCCCGCCAGGCAGGATGAGCTTTGCCTGCAGAACGCCGTGCGTGGCAATTCTACCCAGCGCACCAATCCACCACTTGGCGCTGGTCAACGTCGGAGAGTGAATGTCAAATTCTTGAGTGTCCGGTATGAACGTCGCTGTCGTCTCCAAGCCCGCGACATTTGAACCGTGCCCCAATTCGGTTTGGAGGTAGCAGCCAAATATCCCGTAGTGAGCTGCGAGAGACGAATATCTCTGAAGGAGGGAAGGGGAACCTTGAGAGTTCAAGACAGGTTCGAAGGCAGTGTTGTGGAGTGCAATTGGAAGAGGATCGTCAAGAATGGTGAAGGCCAATTTCACTTCATCTCGTGTCCAACTTAAGGACTCTGAGATTTCATTGATGCGGTTTATGAGACGTAATCCGCGTTTAAAACTCTCTGTTCGATCGAGAAAGTGTCTGTATCGCCACATGAATCGACAACCTATTACGCGTATTGGTTGCAAACCTCTTGGACTTGTCAAAAACTGGATCTTGCTCCAAGATATTGCGCATCTTTTCGCGTTTCTGCCAAGCCTCGGCGCCACCTACTGAACGCGTTAGTACTGTGCGGCGGCTACAAAAGAGCTACACACCCCAAAGGAAGTTGCGTGTCGCTTGGATATCGATGGAGGTGCATTTGCGAGCATTATCCATGTCTTGAGCGGTCTGCATGATGGAACGGAGGGAAGCAGCTCGTACTATGCTCACTTGACTTGCAGTTCATGATGAGGGAAAGCAGCAACCGGTATCGCGGGTATAAGTCGAACCGGTAGCCGAAGGACGCGCCACGCCATAAGATATGGTGAAGCGCGGGCTTGCCGCACAACATGGGTCGATGGCGTAGTTGGTTATCGCATCTGTCTAACACACAGAAGGTCCTCAGTTCGAGCCTGGGTCAAATCATACCGTCCATGTGCAATCCTTTTTGTAGTACAGACAGACCAATAGCATGCAATTTATCTATGTACGTTACGCCACAGTAATACGCGTATCACAGATGCCTTTGGCCTTGGCGGAAATTGACACTGAAAACCAAATCGATCAGAGTAAGTACGCCACCCGCAGCCAGCGGCTGTACTCGACTTGCCCATGCCGTCAAGTTTATCGTCTTGGAGAATACAGCCGCCAGGCGCGGAAACATGTCGCAGTGCCTACAGGAACAAAGCTGCGGCAAGTTCGAAGTTTCCACACTTCTCGCTTCCTCAACCGGCTCTGCATTTTCAACGACATGTTATTATCGGAGCGTTGAATGCCTGTTTAGTCGAAGGGGCGACGACTAAATGGATGACATAGAATATGACGCGGAAGGCCGTTCCCAGCGTGTGCACAGTGCAGCAGACCAAGGCAAGGTGTAGTATATCGTGATGGCTTCCTGACTACGTTGTCCATACCGAGTATGCATGTGGCGACACTTCGACATCATTTTCGGGGTGGCGGTTTCGTATAGGATGACTTTAGGATTCCAGAATCTCACGAGATTCGACGCGTGCTGGTCAAGTGCGATTCGGTCTCGAAATAAGACTGTAAAGGCTACTAGCTTCACATCGGGGATGGATGTGGGTTTCCGGATTATTCTCGTAGAATCTCGCCGTGTCCAGAGTTTTTCTCGGTGTCCGTCTCGCACCGTTTCTCAACGAATCGTGGAAGCATGCACGCACAACAGAGTCTGTCGGCGTCAGTGAGTAACCGCAAGTCGACAATGAACGGCGCTTGATCTTCTGATCTTTTGAAGAACGAGCTGATGACTGGATTCAGCGTAAGAAACATCAAAACTACTCAGTACTGCAGGTCGCCGTGTCGCCAATCTCCGACCAAATGTATAGACTCGGAGTGTGGGGAGATGGCTTGAACTCCGTGCGGGGCCATGCAGTCATCCACATAATCCCGCTACATATGTCCCTCAGGATAGCTGGGCTAATTCATCGCGCGTCAGACAGAGTCAAAGCGGGTGACAGTCATTGTGCCTGTGACGACGACTTGTTAATTGGGCACAGGTCAAGATTAATGACAATCAACGTTAACTTGGACGCCCACGTTGAAGTATGACGCATGGATCTCCAGACCCCGGGTCCATCCATTTCGGAAATTCACAACGCCTCGAGTCGGAGCGTACGTGATGGCGAGCATAGTAAGCGCCGATGGAGAGGCGGTCTGACATTCCAGACCGAAGACGTCGCCAGAAGCTATGGGGGCCTCCCAAGTCCAAGAAAAGGTTTGTATACAATCCTGGAATCTGCTGACGTGAAGTATAGTATGTTAGCGGCGCACCCGGTGGATATCGGAATCGTGGAAGAAGTCCGGGCGCAGCATCGAAGGGGTGAGAGAGGCGGTTACACTCGCCGCTTTGAGTGTAAGTGCCCTGGGTCATGAAGCCAGCTGCGATTGCAGGCGTTAGATCGCAGGATCGAAACGCGGTGGGTAAAAGCAGTACGTTAATAGAGATAACGTTCTATTCTAGCGGAGGGGATTGAGAATGCCGGAAGGTGATGTAGCTGACGAAGGATGAGGTGAGTCCGAATCTGGTTCCGAATCCGAGTCGAGATTAATTTCCAGGAGCGGTACGGCGAGTGAGAGAAGCATGCATAGCAGCTGTTGCGAGCAGTTAATGATTATACAGGACTTTGAAGGACAGCTCCAAGATTGCGGGTGTCGCACAATCAATTGAAGCACAGTAAGAACCGTCGGCGCTGTTGATATGAAGAGTACGTTGTCTTGTCTCCGCATCCCCTGCCGAGTGGTAATCATACTACCGCTTGTGCCGATGATGCTCCCTCGCCTGGACGACAGTAGTGTAATAGCCACTGCAGGCAACACGGTCACCTGCATGGCACTTTACTAAGTAGTTCGTCATTGAGGTGCCGCATTAACGTACGAGGCAAGTCAAATAAGGAGAGATTAGGGTATAGGAAGAATTTAATATGACGCGGGCAAAGCAGATCCGGACGTTAGCTATTGTCAGCCAACTGAGTGCATATGAACAACAGTGCAAAGGCTGTCCGCGGAAGCAGATGCGGGAACCGGAGATAAGCACGTGTAAGGGTCGTTCCGATCTCGGCT